TGCCTTACCCAAAACATAGTGGGTCTTGTATTTGGGCATGTGGTATGAAAACAAATACAGTCATAGATGAGGGCAAAGAGTGTAAGACTGGCTGTGATAGCTCTTTTCAGGGCTACACCTCAAAGCAGTTTGCTAGGGACAAGCAGTGTTGCCCCCAGCTTAGGGGATGGGGAAACTGAGTCAGAGAGAGGGGAAGTCATGGGCAGTGCAGCTGGGACACCAGCTTCTTCACTGGTGTGGAGATGTACCTGGAAGTTGGACACGTCCTGCCCAGAAAGCAAGCATGGGGCCAAAGGGGCTGTTGTGAGCTGGGCTTGAACCAGCAAAGCCCAAAGCTGAAAGCCCTGCCAAGCCAGTCCCAGAGCTCAGAGCTGAGCCACATGTGTGCTGGGCACACAGAAAAGACCCCCGACATGTTAGCCATGACTGCCACCAGCCCCAACACCCCGGTGCCTATGCACAGGAAACCCCCTGCCACCTGGGTGCAACCTCGCAGCTATAAAGCTGAGGCTGCCGGAGTGCCCATGCCTGCCTTACACATAATGAGCACCCGTAGCCAATGGGCGGGCATGGGGGTGTGACAACCATCTTCAAACCCTCAAAGGGTGACAACAGAGGATGGAGATAGGCGTTTCCCTGCAGTCACAGGGGACCAGACTAGGAGCAATGGCAGGGAAACTGAGGCTGGAGATAAGGAGGAACTTTCTGATCATGATGGGGGTCCAGCAAAGGAACAGGCTTCCTAGAGGGGAGGGGAATTTCCATCCTTGGATGTTTCCAAGAGCAGATTGGATCCAGGTTGTCTGGGGTGGTTTAGTCAGGGCTGATCCTGCCCTGCGCAGGGTTCTGGATGAGAGGTGACTTCCTGAGCTCCCTTCCAGTCCCCAACTTCCCTCTGATCATATGATCCTAGGCTTATGGATTTGCTTGCCTGGAGACCAGCAGGGCCTTGAGTCAGACCTCAGGAAGGGTCCTCTGCTCCCAGACCCTTGTCCATCCTCCCTCCCAACTCCACTGCCTAAAGAGATCATCAGCAAACACCTTCATTTCTCTCCCATTGCCTGGTCCATCAAGGCCTACAGCGCTCCTGAGATACCAGGGACTCTTCCACTTGTCCCACATGCCAACCACCCACTGTTGAGCACTTGTAGAAGGATTCTGGCTAGTGCTCATAGCCATCAGCTTCACTGGGCAGCTGAGAACATGGCATGAGCTGGCAACAGGTGCTGGAGACCTCTGCTCCCAGCTCTGCCATGCCAGGGGCCAATGGAGGTCTCGCAATGTTGTGAAGAGCAAGACCAATGAAGCCAGGGTGTAAGGAAAGGGGGTGAACAGGGCCAGACACAAGGGCCAGTTCAAGGGTAAGTGGCCCCCTAGGCAAACTGTGTACCTCGTTGCCCCCATTTCCAATATAGAGGAAAATAAAAAGTCTAGAATGAACTTTTACAGGAATTCTAGCTGTGATGATGGTCAATTGTACTGATCTTTCCCCTGAGATCTTTTCAGAGGTCTTTCTCCTCTTACCGAACCAAAGGTTTTAGACCAAGGTGGAGCTGTAGCCGACCCGGGCTGCTATTTAGAATGATGTTCCTGTTGTTTTGTCCTGCATATAATTTTGGCGCCCCCCAAATTTTGGCACCCTAGGTGACCTCCTACTTTGCCTAATGGCTGAACCAGCCCTCCCAGACACAGGCTCCGAGGAGCTTGAGGGGGACAGTCTCACACTGACCACCACCTACCCCTCTCACCACTGCCCCCCACTACCACATCCCCCACAAACCCCCTGTGCCAGAGAGAGTCCCACTGCAGTCACCAGGGCTCAGAGAGGCACAGCCAAGCACCAGGGGTGAGAGGTGCAGCTGTTTCAGCCACCAGCAATAGGCCATGTCCCCGCTACCCCAGCCTGTCCACCCACCTGCCTGACTGGCACTTACCACATTAGCAGCAAGCACTCAGCTCCGACAGCCCCAGCACCACGGCATCTCCTGGTGCGCGGAAAGGGCTCTGTGGTTGCTAGCACTACACCGGGCACGGTGCTCACCGGGCCTGAGTCATCTCCGGAGTGCCTGCCCCCCTCCAGGCCTGAGGGTACGTGTGTGTGCGTGCACGTGTGATTAACTCTTTCATTACCGGAACTGCCCGGGCTTTTTGGGGCTGTCGTAACGGCAGCTTGCTGAATGAGTGTGCTGGACTTCCCCACTGCCACGGGAGGGCGCAGGGGGGGTGCATTTGTGTGTGTGACAATGCCTGAGGGCTGTGATGAACGCCTGAGTTGTGTGTGTGAGCTGAGGGGCAGAGGAGGACGCCTGGAGGTGTGCCCTTGTGTGTGCTTCTGCAGGTGTGCACACTGGATATCAGGGGATGTGTATATCAGATGCCTCTGTGTGCGCGCGTGTTGGATGCCTGGGTGGGGAGGGTTTGTGTGTTCCAGATGCCTGAGGGTGTGTGTGTTCACATGCATGTGTCCTGGACACCTGGATTCTGTCTGTGTGTGTGCGTGCACGTGTGACTTGAGCGCATGGGTTCTCTGTGTGTATGCATGTGCATGTGTGTGTCCTGGATGCCTGAGTTCTCTACGTGTGTGCATATGCGTGTCCTGGACACCTGGGTTCCACATGTGTACATGCGTATGTGTCCTGGATGCTGGGCTCTGTGCATGTGCACATGCACATGTGTATCCTGGGCACCTGGGTTCCCTGTCTGTGTGCGTGCAGACATACCCCAGACACCTGGGGGGGCGGGGTGTACTGGGGTGCGCACGTAGAGCACTCAGTGGTTGAAGAGTGCACTGGGATGCATGGGCAAATAGATAAACAGTATGAGGATAAATAAACGCGAGAGAGAGAGGGAGAGAAAGAAACACAATTTGTAAAAGAAGCGGGAAAAGAGAAAAGCGCGGGCCTGGAGCGGGACGGAGCATGCGCATAAGCCTGCCCCGTTGCCAGAACTGCGCCCCCCCCGCCGGCACTTGTGCAGCTAGCGCCGAGCTCCGCCCCGAACTGCTCTCCTCCGCGGGAAGGACCCGAAGGCCCTGGCAGCACTTTGGCTTCACCGGTGACGGTGAGCATGCGCAGCCTGCCTCCTCAATAAGAGTACTACATATACCCGAAGCCTGCCACACCCTCCCCGTCTTGTGCGGTACTAAGCATGCGTACAGCCTGGTCCAGCCTGTCGCCAAGCGGCGCAGAACATTCAAGTGCTCTGTGGAGCACACGGTTCGAGACCCACTCCGGCGGGCTAGCCTGGACTCCTGGGCCCTTTTTTTTGGGAAATGGAGCGGCACCTGGTGGGTTGGAACAAAGCCCAGGAACGGAGACGCCCAGGTTCCCTTCCTAACTGCAGCGGGCACAGTATGGGGAGCAGTTTGGCAGCCAGTCTCTAGGATCCCCCCAGGCCAGCGCAGGGCACATGGGGGGCGGGTTCTGGTGTAGCGTGGGGGATGGGGCAGAAATAGCTAGGTATGGATCTATGTGGGGAGGGGAACCTGGAAAGAAAGAGATTAAGTTTTGCGGGGGGGTCCTAGATCCCAGAGGTTGGGGGGGGGCACCCACGACCAGCCAGGTCAGTCACAGCCCGTTTGCCACTTAGGCCCTTGGGGGGGGGGTGTGCAAAGACCTCCCTCACACACTAAATCCCAGCCCCTGTGGGTAAAAACTGTAGCCACGTGGCAGGATTAGTTCCCCCGGATTTTAATTCAGGGTAAAGAGCAGACACAGGGGGTCAGTTAGGACAGATCCGGCCACAGGGTGGCAGGGGCCAGGGGAACTAGAGGACATCAACCAACAGGGCTCATGGGGTATGAAACTGCGGGGACATCTTCAATCCAGATTCAATGCAGTTTAATAAATTTACAGGCCTGGTGAGCTGTTTTCAACCTGCCTAGAAAGGGCCAGAAGCAGCCCTGGAAAAAATCACGTACTGACTCATGAACAGTGGGCTGGTCAGTCCTCCCAACATCCCACAATGCATCACTCCTCACTCCCATTGCCCAACATTGCTCCAGCACACAGCCAGAACTACACTACCCACCCTCTACCCCTTCCAGGGTATCCCAGCTATGTCCCCACTCCCTCTGGACTGTGCCTCCCACCCCCACTCCTGCACCCACCAGCCCAAGGTCCCCAGCCTACCCAATGCTGTACCATCAGGCCTGGGGTGCAGGGGCTGCACACATGTGCACATGCACACATGGGGGGGTCCCAGAAGTCAGAGCTCCATGCCCTGTCCTGGGGCAGGCTGAGCCTTGGCTGACATCATCAGTGCTCCTCATGAGATCATTCATCCCTGACCTTTGACCCCCCATAATCCACAGATAGGCAGCTATCTGCCTCCCTTCCCCAGGCACTGGACAAACTGGCCTGTGTCTCCACCACTGCTGACTGCCACGACCCTGGTCACATCGCCCTGACCCTGCAGGGAAGGGAACTGCCCACAATCTCCCCCTAGCATAACCATGGGGCAATACAGCCTTCATACCCCAGTGGGGGGGGTGAATGATTCCCCCCCCCCC